TCCCTTTTGTTTTTTTAAATGACCCTCAGGTAGAATGACAGGTTGTATCAGTTATTTCCATTCCTCATACAACATGATTATGTATGGATAATTAAGTACTGTTTAATATACCTGCATGCATCCTCATCACGTGTAACAAAGGATGCTACTAGAAGCTGCAAATACTGTTGCCCAAACTAAGTACCACTTTACACATGTCAAAATCATTAATACCACCAGTCAGTGAATAGATCCCTTAAGCCAAGAAGTTCCAAGAGTACTGTGGAAAAATGCTGAGATTCATGTTGGTTTTTTTTTAAAAAGAATTCTTGAAATTCAAAGCACATATATCTTACCCTGTATCTTACTTGAGATAAGTTCTACCTTTCCCTAATTACTAAAAAAAAAAAAATGGCGTAGTTTTGCTTCTCACACTATTGAAACTATACTCAAACTGACCTACTGGACCACTTGTTTTATGGTGGTCATATTTACTCAGTGGCAGCAAAGAAAGAAAAACTTCTAAGAGAGCCCTAAGACTAATCTAATAGCAAAACCTGACCAAGCACTTGTTTCAGGGCCTGTTAGACCATATTGCTGATAATGCACCTGTTTTAACCATAATCCATCCGAACAGTTACAAAGCAGCATAGCACAGACCTTGCAGTACACTTCATTAGTGCAGCAACACTAGTGATTGCTTTTGATTTCATTCCTTCTACATAATTTTAAGAATAATACACACTACACAAAAGAAAGTAATTTTTTCAAACAAAACAGACTTCACTAATCTTTCTCCTCAAATAAATCAGACAAGTTACTTTAAGATGTCAATTTTGTGATTCATACTTCACTGTGAACTGAAGTTACAATTAATTCTGTTAATCTATTATATACCTTTATACCTAAAGTATCTAAGATTATTACAATAGAGTATAAATACAGTATCCAGTCACAAAGCCTTGTGTAATTCTGAAAAAAAAGAGTTCAAACTCAGGTATCCTATATAATGTTCCAAACTTACACTCAACATACAGAAGGAGCACTTTTTTTTTTAAAGTCCAGATTAATGGAATTTTCAAAATTATTAACATTTAATACTCATTTGTTTTAAAACTAGACAATTTTACAGATGAGCATAACTTAGCTTCAAGATTTGTATAAAACTAATGAGCACAAGATGCACTGTATACCAATGAAACACAGGGAAACTGCTGGGGCTTTTTTTCAGTTGTTTCCAGTTTGCACTGCTCTCACAATAACATCCTTAAGAATCATGAACTTGCCCTTTTTTCACACAAATATTAATGCCTGCCTAGAAGAAAAGCATGCAAATGAAGAACTTAATTTTTCTGTAAATAAAACCATTTACAGTACCTAAGAAATTCCAGAAATATGAACACAACTGAAACAGAAAATTCTACTATTAAAAAGTAATTTTAATTCAACACCAGAGTCAACACCTTCTCTCAAATGAACACGAATTTATAAATTAAAATATACTCCATGAACTTGCTTCTATATATCCAGAGGACTTTAAGGCATATTTGCCTGCCTAGAATTAAACAGTGGGAACAACCCTCACAACTGGTTAATGAATTGCTTTGAATTAATTCCATGCCAGTTTAATTCAGAAAACAAAGAGGCCTTGAAAAGTATGCCAATAATTAAGTCTGAAATGTCTTGATGGTTTACAAGAATTTATGATGGAAAAGTCACCAGCGAAGTCTTCTGGGTATACCACTCCTAATTGTATAAATAACGGGATGACTTCTGACCGTACAGATCAGCTTGCTTTTTGCCTCAGAGCTTCGCCGCCAGTACAACCCGCTGAAGTTTTCCACAGGCTTTGATGTTACTTTTTGAGAACACGCCAAAGCCCAGGATTTAGGGCTAGATTCTTTGTCACTGGTGCACACGGATGCAGAGCTCAGATAAAGAGAAGTGGTGCCCAAGGAAGCAGAGGAAGCCAGCCCTTATCAGCTGCTCCACCCATCCTTCTCTACCAACACCCTCAGAAGCCCACCTTTTCTACTGTCCGCTCTTGTAAAAATTTGAAACTACTTCCCTACCGTGCCTTGACCGGTTAAACACCACCAGACGGAGCGGAGGAACTACCCCAGCGGTTTCCCAGCGCTGGAAACCCCCTCCAAACGGGAGGAGATGTGCCCCAGTCACACGGTCCCCGTAAACATAACCCTGTTTTTCTCCGCCCTGGGCGAGAGGGGAGACCCTCCCCGAAACCGCGGTCACGCTTCGGGAAAATCCCGGGCTCGCTTTGTATTTCCTAAAGCCGAACTTTCTGCCTGCCCGCGTTTCCTGGTTCCGGGAAGCGGCCTCAGAGAAGGGGAGGCTCGGGCACCCTCCGCCGCCTCGGCTCCCCGGGAGAGGAAGGGAACCGGGGAGCGGTTACGGGGACGGCTGTAAGGAAAGTCCCGAGGCAGCGAAGCGGAGCCAGGCGGGGGAAGAAGCAGCTGGACGCAATAGGGAAGAAAGAAGGGCTGACTCGGTCCTCGGCGGGGAAAAGTCCCGGGAAAGGGGCGGGGGCGCCGGACCGGCCCCGGGCGGCGGAGGCAGAGGGCCCGGGCAGGACGGTACAGACCATGCCCAGAGAGCAGGCGACGGAAAAGAGAGCTCCGGCCGGCGGCCCAGCCGCGGCCTGCTGCCGGGGCGCTGAGGCGAGGCGCCCCGGGGAGCGGGGCCCGCCGCCCCCAGCCCAGCTCCACACCGCGGCGGAGAGGGGAGAGAGAGGGAGAGAGGGAGGGAGGCCGGCAGCCCCAAGGCAGGGCCGCAGGCCGGGGCCCGGCCGCTCCTCACCTCCGGCACCCGCCGCACAGGAGCACAGCAGGATTATCGTCCCCGCCAGATCCATCTTCACCGGGCCCAGGCCCCGCCGCCGCCTACCCACAGCACATCCGCCCCGGTCGGAGCCGGGATGGGGAGGGGCGAGCTCCGCGCCTCCCTCCGCTTTGTCCCCCGCCGCTCCTGGAGGACCGCTCTGTACCGCCCTACGGCTC